GCAAATGTCCATGACTTCTGAAGGAAGAAATCCAGAGACTTTTGGAAAGGGTAGGGCTAGTTGCTTATAGACAGATATCTGCATTAGTAAGGTCTCATTGGTTGAAGAGACAAGAGGATGCCACACACCTCTCCGGCCAGAGAGAGTTTCTGCAGAATAATTTAAGGATCCCAAATAGTACGGCAAAGGTAGGAAGTTCTCATCAGTTCTTAATGGTGACTAAGAAACTTCACTAAGTAGGACATTATAACTTTGGTCAGCAGTATATTACTTAAGGCAAAAATGTCTCTCTATAACAATTTAGCAAAATAATACAAAAAGGAAAAACTAACAAAATATTTTTCAGAATTTTAAAGACCCCCCACTTTTCCCATTTTTAAAACTCAGACTACATTTCAAACAACTTAGTAAATATTAACGTTGATCATATAAGGTTGTTCCTACCCAGGAAGGTGGCATGAACTACACAGAACCCTCAGGCTCTTGTTTAAGAACCAATTTAAGACTCAATTTTTTCATTTGTAAAAGTTGGGGCAATATAAACTACACTGCAGATTCATTATGAAGATTAGCTAAAACAGAAAGCCTAACACAATGTCTAAGATTTAGCACTTCATAAATGGGAACTATTCTTATAATGTAAAAATGCATTTTTCTCAGTGAATCTTATTAAGAATTGCTGCTTTATAATCAAAGGAAAAGAAATAATGGTGGCTTGCATAATTTCTCTTACTGACAGTGAATGGTTAAGAGGTACTATCTTTCCAAAAAAATAGGATAAAGACCTCCCCTCTCTAATATTTACTAAAAAACTGCATATTGATTATAAACTAAGAATACAAAATGGGATAAACTGCCATATCCAGGCATGTAGGCTTTTAGTAAAACTGACATTAATTAAATTTTATTTCTTTTGATTTAATAAAGTTTCCATGTCAAATTCTTTCCGCTCCTGAGAGGTGATTAAGATGCTTTTTTATTCCCCATGACTTTGCACATCAACAAAGAACATTTTTCTCAAACCTTTACCCATGCATAAACAGGAGTACTGAACCTTTAATTTAGTCTTTATAGAGAAAACAGAAGCAGAGTGATTAAGTGACTTGTCAAGGTCATGTTACTTCAAATATCATTAATTTTTAAGAGGAAAAAACGTAGATTCCAAAAATTAGAAAAATGAGGTTGACATCGATCACTTATCAAATTCTAGAGAAGATTAACAGATGGCATGTGAGCAGTTAGAAAAGGAGGTTGTATGGTTTCACTAAGAGTGAAGCATTTCCAGCTAACTTCATTTGTTTTCTTGATTTAATATACTAGCAGATTAGGCTACTTCCATAGTGCTTGTCGACCAAACAGGACAAAATTTCTTACCGTGTCCTTTTAGGAACCATGAAGAAACAAAAGCACTTAAGTGACTGGTAGTTGCTTCAACAACTGTACCCAGAGTACTGACTGGTGGATCAAAGTCATCTAGAGGGCAGTCTACAGTGGCATTCTGAAGAGGGTCTCTATTTCATCCTGTTCTATTCAGTGTTTATCAGTAACTTGGACAAAGCCACTAAACACCAAAGGCATACTTCATCAAAATTGGGACTGATGCAGGATGACAGAAGAATCAGAATGCATATGGACCTTTACAAGTTAAATTTAGTAAGGATGAATGTAGTCCAATTAGGTTAAGAAGAAATTGTGTAAGTAATTATTAGGAACAGACTTGGCTTACCAGCAATACCTTGAAGTTTAGCAAGAGACAACAATGTGATACGTTTGCCTAATAATGACGGTAATGATAATAATATCAACATATACGAGTCATAACAGTCATATGAGAGTCACTTTGATGTTGGCAATAATGCTTCTGGACCTTGCTCTAGTCAGACAACAGAGGAACTGTGTTCAGTTCTGAGCAACACATTTTAAGTGAGGGATGGAAATAGCCAATGCCAGGCTGGTCTAGAATAGATAATCATGCAAGATCTGAGAAAAGTGTGAAGCATGAGGGAAGACAGGAAGAGGTGGCCACACAGAAGAGACAGGACTTTTCTGCCTAGCTTCACATGTGTGCTATTTATAGGAACATTTGGGTGATACTTTTCTAACAAAATCCAACCCTTGTAGGGGTGCTGAGTGGCTCCAACTCTGGAAGTCCATCAACCACTTCTGTACAGCTGAGGTCTCTTTTAGGGTTTTCCTTAGAGCTCTCTTTTAGGGTTTTCCTTCTTAGATTTCCTTCTTAGATCTTAGGTTTTCCTTCTTAGATTTTCCTTCTTAAAATCATGTGCTCAGGAGTCTATTCCAGACTTCCTTAGTAGCTGTGTACTTTTGCTATAAACACTAAATCCTCCAGGGGGTTACATCATAGAAGTGATAAGACTACACAATTAAATATTAGAAATGACCACTGAGTATATCCTGTTTATTGTTTATGATTTACACGAAAAATGATGGATTGGGGCTGTAGAACAATAAACCAATCATTACGTTTAGACCTGGGCTTTTGAAAAACTTGCATTCCATTTTAACAGTTCACATATATTTAACAGTTTATATATAAATGCAGATCACAAATAAGAGTTAGTTAGCTTACAGATAAACAATTAAGAAACACGAAAGAAAACCACATAGATCTACCTTTAAATATCAGCATTCAAATTACAAGAAAGAAGAAGACGTTTAAAAAAATAAAATTATTAGGTCAAGTCACTTAACATATAATAGAGAAATAAGAGAAACAATACTTTGATTAATATTTATATTTCTAATTTACCTTCATATATTCTTTACTTTTTCAAAAGGAGCCAAGACGTGATCAAACAATATTTAGGTGTCCTAACTTGTCAGCCTCAGCTTATATCAGCTTGTTACAATGAAAATTCTAAAACCTCAATTTTCTTTTTAAAAGAATTTTTAAGCCAATTCTTATTCAACTTTTCTCCTTCATAGCAGCTGTTTACAGATAGTAGGGAGCCAAGAATGAAGGGCAGAAACAGATGGAAAGCAAAAAGTACAACAGCTATCTTAAGTTCAGCTCTCAATACTGCTGGTTGAATTTGGAACCAAAACCTCTTAACAACTGGCAGATAATAGTTAAATCTTAACAGCCAAAGAAGAAATATTTTCTTTGGGACAGTTGCTATCTAGGAGAAGAAAACCAAGGTCCCTTTACACTGCCTAAATATAACGTGTGTGGCTTATTACAGAGAAATCTGTAACAATGTCAGTTTAACCACCAAGTGTCACAACTGATCATTATTTAAAGGAAACAAACAACAACAATAAAAATCACACTAGCCACAAATTTCCACAATATACACATGAGAATTAATTTTAATTTGATTTGACTCCTTGACACTAACTGATCATCAATGAAATATGGTATGGAAAGATCACAGAGTAGAAAACAAGCAAAGATTAGTTTATACAACAGTGACTATATACATGAGAAGGAAAACATGCTACCTAATGCAACATTAAGGCTTGAATGTAAGCATTTCCAAAGTCACAGAAGCCCCAAAGAACCCCTAAATTACAAAGTCACCACATTACATGCATGCAATGCTCAGTTTTGTTTTACCCATAAAAGGATACACAGTATTTTGCTGTAAGTACCAGACACATTTACAATATATGCAAAAATTAGAATGCAGGTGTTATGTTCCTTATATTTAAGCCTCAAATGTGCCAACAGTGAAATTTCGTTTATTTTTAAGAATGAAGAAAAGAGGTGGAATATAAATATGCAGAGAAATTACACAAATAAAATGTAATTTTGCATTTGGGAAGCCATATAAACATTCTTTTTATGTGTCTAAACTAAATTATTATTGTACTACTTGGATGGATGTACACTCGCTATGTGTTTTACTATTTTACTTGCTCAAATGTGGCATTCTAACACCCATCATTCTCTGGTGTTGATACCTAATCACATCTGTAAGTTAAATATTATGTCCATGTTGATACATAATTGCCTACTGGGTGTGATCACCTAAACAGAAAGCTGTGCACTCTTAGTTTGGTTACATGATTACAAAGATGACCCTGTGGGTCAAATTTCCCATTAAAAAAAAAGTAAAGTAAGGAAAGCTGATTTCCTCACTTTTGTAAAAGCTTGTGAACAGATCTCTTTCAGAGGATAAATGTGAGGTCAGCATCTTCTTTTCTCTTTTAGAGAAAGGAAATTAAGAACGGAACCTGTTCAGTTCTGTTCATACAGTCACTAGGCAATCACACAATCTATTCCTTTTTCACCCATGGCTTAACTTGAAACTACTTGTTTTTATTTTAGTTCCAGGTGAATAATTTTCCCAAAATAAATTAGTGTAAAGAAACAAAGGCTGATAATGTAATATGACTAATCCTTGTTCAACAATATTTTAAAATAATAAATTATAACAAGGTTTAGATATGTTGTAAAAAGGTATGGCCAAATCTGTCCTGGACCCCATTAGTTTTACACTTTACACAAGACAGCACAATTAATCTTCTAGTTTTTTAAGGATTCAGATTCTCCTTCGGGATACAACAGAATGAGTGTTTTAAAACACTTTATGCTTGTTTCCAGACTTTCCAAAATATTTCAGAGCCAAAATTACCTTTAACTATGTCCAGTATTTATTACACAAATGTGCCATGAGTGTTCTGGACCTTCAAGTATAATTTTAACCAAATAGAAAGGACTTCATAAGGCCATCTAATTCATCTCACTGTACCAAGCACTGAGCACATGAGATTGTTTATATGCTTTACTAACCTTACTTTAAGCACATCCACCATTTCAAATATAATAACTTATTTTACTACCTAACCATTTCAAGGAGATTACATTTAAGATTTTAAAATTCGGTGATGCTCTAGCCAGAAGTTTTGTTTGGCATTCTAAAAAGTCCTAATTTTAAACAGAGATGAAAGAGTAAGTTATCTTCTTATAAAACCACTCAGTATTATGAACCAAGAGGTTTTGATGAAGCAAAAGCAAAGGGACCAATGAAAAAGCATGCTTTAGAATTCTTTTTTATTTCCAACGAAACCAAATTTTACTACTGTTGTGATCACAATCTTCACATTTGATGCAAATAGGAAAACTTAATTATAATCACTTAGTGGCAGTACTTCAGACAAAACCAATAATGTGTGCCACACAGATGATTATTTCTTCTGGATAAAGTTAATCAATAAGCTCGACATTACAATTAATAACATATTAAACTAAAGAAAATGAATGCACTACTTCAACATTCAGCTTGAAAATGTTTAGTACTTTCTGCAAACCTAAATTTAGTTCAGAAAGGTTAATATTCTCTTTCTAAACTATGGCATAGACTATATATAGCATTTTAAATATATTTATATATAATTATTTGCACATGATATTTTAGAAGGATCTGCAAATTTACTTTGATAGACCGATCTCATTCAAGTGTTCAGGCTTAGGGGGCTTCTGCAGTACTGTCGTTTGCAGGTGGGGCATCATGATTGGGCTCAGAGGAAGCAGCTGCAGGTGTTTCCATCACAGCAGGTGGGAAATGACGGCGGCACACAGGGCACGTCCCTGACTGGGGGGAGAAAAAAACAAGTTCACAGCCAATGGAAAGATCTTAACTGCTACAAAGTATCAGAACAGTATCATTATCCTCAAAACAAGTCAAATAACTTAAAAACAAAACCAAATAAACTTCAAATCCACACAGTACAGAGAGGCAAAATTTTGATGCTATTTCCTCTTCATCCCAATCAGACTCAATCTCTCTGAGGGTAAACAGTGTCTCCTAATCATGTTTGCATCTTTTAGGTCACTCATCTTTCATGTAGTGAGTATTAATTAAGAGTCTACTACATGCTCCACTTGGCACTGGTGCTACAAGGGTGAGCAAGGAGTCACAGGGCATGTCTTCACCTGAACTGAATGCATATATTAGAGAAACCAGAGACCTAATTAATTCACATATTTATTATACCAAATTATCCCCCTAGGACCTTCCTCATATATACTAAAGCCTTACTTTAGTGTAGCACAGATATGTCAAAGCAGATGGACCGCAGACCTTCTTTATAAGCCATATACTTCCTTTTCAAAAAGATATGGAGAGTTAGGTGCCTTCTAAATGATAAAACAAATCAATGAGGGAAGGTGGAACAGGGAAAGCAGTTAGACTGGGAGTACATTATTTTAGGACCAATGGAAGGTTACAGAGATGTGTCATCTGGCGATATGTTATCCCCTCACAAATCTTGTCTTTTTCCCAGAGATCTCCCTGATAGAAAAAAGGTTGAAGAAATCAGGCTATTGAAGGTGACAAAGATTCAGACCTTGGAAACCTTCTCCCTAGAGGAAAGGCTTCACAATAAGCTGCTTCCTGACGGGAGACAGACTAAAGAGATTATTACCTTGGGTTAAAGCAAAAACAATGACAATTCAAGATTGTACAACATACATAATATTTACAATTCAAGAATTTAATTCAGCAAACATTTTGTGCACTTGCCATACAGATGGGGCCAAAAGAGCAACATTTTAGAGTCAAGTATATGAGTACAGTCTCAATCAACCACACACTAACTGTGTAACCTTGGATGAATAACAATGATTGGAAAATGAGAATAAAGATTCCAATATGTCCCAGAGTTACTGTTAGGATTAAATGGGAAAACACACATCAATCATCCAGCGATACCTGACACAGAGCAGGCACAGACAACACCAGATCCTTCTTAAGGCTCTGATACTATTGTGGGAGTTTAAAAAAGAGGATATTAAGGATAGAAAAGGTCGAATTTAAGTGGACCTACCTAGATCATCTATTCTTACAGTAAGGGGAAGATCAAACCAGGCTAAGCAAACATGAGTAAATGTACAGAGGAGTAAATCGGACGAGATAGACTAGATCACAGAAGGCCTGGAAAGCCTAGACAGAAACTTTAGATTTTTTACATTTTTTTTTTTTTTTTTTTTTTGGGCTCACGGGCCCAGCCGCTCCGTGGCAAGTGGGATCTTCCTGGACCAGGGCACGAACCCGCGTCCCCTACATCGGCAGGCGGACTCTCAACCACTGCGCCACCAGGGAAGCCCGAAACTTTAGATTTTATAAAGGAATCATGAACATTTCTGCACTGGATTTTAGATGTCAACTAGAGTTTTGACAAAGATGAAGTAGCAGTAGAGGGGGAGCAACAGCAAAGAAAGAGAAAGGAAAGAAAAGAAGGGAGAAAGGAGAGGGTAGGAAGTAAGAGAGGAGAGAAGGAAGGGAGTAGTTATAGAGAAGAAAGGGAGCCATATCCATAAGTAATTAAGCTGGGAATGTGATTTGGGAATTTCTACTGAACTGCATGTAAATATCCTTTATGCAAGAATAGAATTCACCGAGAAGACGTAAGTAAAACTTTTTTTTTTTCTTAAGTAATTCAAATATACTTAAAAATTATTGGGTAAACATTGAAAAACAGTATATAAAAATTTGAATAGGAGGTACTTGGTAGGTTATTAAATATTTATCATATATATTTTAATTTTTAAAATTATTTTCTTGTAGTATAGTTGATTTCCAATGTTGTGTTAATTTTTGCTATATAGAAAAGTGATTCAGTTATACATATATATATTCTTTTTTATATTCTTTGCCATTACGGTTTATCCCAGGATATTAAATATAGTTCCCTGTGCTATATGGTAGGATCTTGTTGCTTTTCCTCATATACATTTTTAAAGATACCATCTCATATTAGCAGAATATCTGTACACTGTTATAGTACTCTGAGTAGTCCTAAAGGCTTCTTTGCTTAAGATATTCTTGAAAACATCAAATTTCAGGGATATAATCAAAGATCTAATTAGCTTTATCCTAAAATCATTTGCCTATATTGTTTTTAGACAATGTTAGTAAGGTAAAATAGTTTGATATATCATTAATCTGTAATCATTAAAAGGTAACCAATTTTAAACACTGAATTAAAAATTACTACGAGTATGTAGCTAAATAAAATAGGCTTAAAAGACACTACTATCATCATTAACTTGTAGGAGAAACTATTAACTTTAAAAAAGTAAATCTGCAACTCACCTTCTGCAGCCAAATTGAGACACAAGGTTTGTGAAAGAAATGATGACAGGGTAACTCTGTTGCTATATCATCCTTAATATACTCACTGCAACAGATTGGACAGCATTGCTCCTGACCAATAGCTGAAAACAAATAATTTGATTTATCAATCCCATGAAGTTCAATTTTAATAAAATTGAAAACCAACATATTAATTCATAGACAATACCTATGAAAGACAAAAGAACCAGACTTTGGTGAATTAATTGGCAAAAGTGTTTCAGCTCAATACATGACAATTTGGAATTTAATAAACATTGCTTTTGTAGAAAAGCTGTCCCAGCCTATCACTTGATAAATTAAAAAATTCCACTAGGTAAAAGTTTGTCTGAATTAGGTTTCATACAAAATCTAATGAAAGTTTCCGACAGTCACTATTTTATCTTCTAGGTGCATTGGTAATATACTTGAATATGCAAAGTGTCGTTCAACATTAGAGATCAGCTTTGCCCTTACCAGTGTGATCTTCAAGAACAAGGGTCTCTGGAAGACCATCAATGCTCTCCTTACTGGCTGGTGGATTGGCCACCTCAACATCCACTGCAAGAGACTCTAAATGTGCCAGGGCAGTCTGAAAATGAAAAGTCGCATTTCTTTGTTAGGAAACACTTTTTAAAACAGTAATGAAAAACTATTTTTAAAGGTATCTTCCAAAATTATATCCATCATTATCCTCTTCCTACTGGTTTCTTTTGCTTCAGTCCCTGCCCTTTTTGCCTTCTTCCAAAAGGAACCATCACCAAACCAAAAAATCAAAAAACACAGGAAAAAAAAATCCCTACTTTTCACAAATACAACAAAAATCTATCTTGTCTCAATAACCATTTACTTGTCCATCATACTTATATTTTCAAGAGTGGTTACCTCTTCCAACTTATGAGCTTATATATGAGATCAATAACATGAAAGAAAATAAATACTTTGAACAGGTTCAACTCATGAAAGATAAAATGTGGCCAAGGTTACAAGATGTTCAAGGTAGGGAAGCAAATAATGCATTTCTGAATGGCTGTATCTACTACTGGTATAGAGTCAGCACACCCACATTACTGGTTCACTAGTACTGGCACAACTCATTTCATTGCACTTTGCAGATACTGCATGTTTTTACAAATTGAAGGTTTCTGGCAACCCTGGCTCAAACAAATCTATCAGTGCCACTTTTTCCAACAGCATTTCTCACTTCATGTCTCTGCATCACATTCTGGTAATTCTCACAATATTTAAAACTTTTTCAATATTATTATAATTGTTATGGTGATCTGTGATCAGTGATCTTTGATGTTACTACTATGACTCACTGAAGGCTAAGATGATGGTTAGCATTTTTTAGCAATAAAGTGTTTTTTAATTCAGGTATGTACCTTTTTTTTGGACATACTGCTATTGCACACTTAATTGACTACAGTATAGTGTAAACATAACTTTTATATGCACTGAGAAACCAAAAATTTGTGTGACTCACTTTATTGTAGTGCTCTTGAACTGAACCTGGAATATCTCTGAGGTATGCCTGTATTCCTAGGTTATCTGGGTTGTGAACTTTATTTAGGAGTTCAAATGTCTGGAAAAAGTCACTAACAGGAATGGAAAGAACAGCAAATCATATGACCATCTAGTATGAGTCACCCTCATCTTTTTGTGGCTTGATTAGCCCTTATGGCTACAATTAGGTTAGAACTGCAGATAGGACCTATAATCACAGGATCTAAAAGGCAGAAACACACCAAGTATCCACAGATGAATGGATGAACAAAATGTGGTTGGTAAAGATAAATATTCAATATATAGTCAAATTCAGAATATTTTGATATTGTAATATGGTAGAGTATATTAACCACTTTACTAAGAATAAACGTTAAAGGACAAGAGTATTAAAAATAATTATACTACAATAACTTGTTAATGAATACTCAATATAAGAAAAGGTAAACTGTGACATCAAAAACATAAGAGTGGGGAAATAAAAGGGTAGAGTTTTTGTAGGCAACTGAAGTTATCAGCATAAAGTAGGCTGTTAAGATGTTTTATGTAAACCTCATGGTAACCACAAAGCAAAAGTCTACATTAGATTCACAAAAGGTAAAAAAATCACCACGTCACAAAAGAAGACAATAAGAGAGGGAGAAATTAACAAGGGAACTACAAAACAGCCAGACAACATAATAAGAAGGCATTAGTAAGTTCTTATCTATCAATAATTACTCTAATGTAAATGAACTAAATTCTCCAATCAAAAGGCATACAGTGGTGAATGGAAAAAAAAAACAAGACCCAACTACATGCTGCCTGTAAGAGACTCACTTCAGCTTTAAGGAAACACATAGGCTCAAAGTGAAGGGATGGAAAAAGACACTCCATTCAAGTGGAAACCAAAGAGAGCAGGGGCAGCTATACTTACATCAGACAAAAGAGACTTTGAGCCAAAAATGGTAACAAGAGGCAAAGAAGATTATTATACAATGATACAGAATCAACTCATCAAGAGAATATAACAATCATAAATGAATATGTACCCCCAAAAAAGAGCAACTAAATACATTAAGCAAATAAAAACAGATCTGAAGTGAGATTAGGCAACAATATGATATTAGGGGAGTTCAATATTTCACCTTCAATAATGGAGATATTATCTGGACAGAAAACAAAAAGGAAATATTGGACTTGAACTATACTTTAGGTAAAATGGACCTAACAGACATACACAGAACATTTCACTAAACAGCAGTGGAAGACACATTCTTCTTGAATGCACATGAAACATTATCCAGGTTAGATCATATACGTCACAAAACAAGTCTTGGCAAATTTGAGAAGACTGAAATCACACCAATTATCTTTTCTGACCAAAATGGCAAGAAACGAAAAATCAACAATAGGAAGAAAACTGGAAAATTCACAAAAATGTGGAAATTAAACACACTCCTGAACAACCAATGAGGCAAAGAAGAAATCAGAAGATATCTTGAAACAAACAATAAAGGAAACACAATATGCCAAAACTTACAGGACAAAACAAAAGCAGTTCTAAGAGGGAAGTGTATAGCAAAAAAATGTCTACATTAAGAAAAAGGAAATATACCAAACAACCTAACTTTACACCTCAAGGAAGTAGAAAATAGTTTGAAAAATTTTTTCAAAATATCTGAAAAAGAAACTAAGCTGAAAGTTATCAGGAGGAAGGAAGTAACAAAGATCAGAGCAGAAAGTGTAGAGACCAGAAAAATAGAAAATACCAACACACACCTGTTTTTTTTTTTGAAAAAGTAACATTGACAAGCCTTTAGTTAGACTAAGAAAAAAAGACAGAAGACCCAAATAAAATAATAAATGAAAGAGGAGACATTACAACTGATAACACAGAAATACAAAGTATCAGAGTAGACTATCATGAATAACTGTACACCAACAAATTGGATATATTAGAAGAGAAACATAAAACCTACCAAGAATGAATCATAAAGAAACAGAAATACTGAACAGACCAATACAAGCAGGGAGCATGAATCAGTAATCAAAAATCTCCAAAAGAAAAGCCCAGGAGCAGATGGTTTCCCTGGGAAATTCTACCAAACATTTAAAGAATTAATGCCAATCCTTCTCAAACTCTTTCAAGAGGAGGAGGGAACACTCCCAAACTCATTTTATGAGTCCAGCATTACTCTGATAGCAAAGCCAGTTCATGACACAAGAGGCATACCTTGCTTCATTGAGTTCTGCTTCGTTGCGCTTCACAGATATTGTGTTATTTACAAATTCAAGGTTTGTGGCAACCTTGTATTGTCAGATGACGGTTAGCTTTTTTAGCAATGAAGTATTTAAAAATTAAGGTATATACACTGTTTTTTTAGACATAATGCTATTGCCTACTTAATAGAGTAAGTATAGTGTAAACATAACTTTTTATATGCACTGGGAAATGAAAAAAATTGTTGACTTGCTTTATTGTGATATTCACTTTACTGCGGTGGTCTGGAGCCAAACCCGCAATATCTCCGAGGTATGCCTGTACAAGAAAAGAAAGTTACAGCCCAATAATCCTGATGAACATAGATGCAAAAATCCTCAACAAAATAGTAACAGACCATATTCAACAGCACATAAATGGATCACACACCATGATCAAGTGATATTTATCCCTGGGATGCAAGGATGGTTCAACACATATGAATCAATAAATATAATACAGCACATTTATAAAATGAAAAGATAAAACGCATATGATCATCCCAATAGATGCAAAAAAAAAAAAAAAAAAAAAAAAAAAAGGAAAACACTCATTTGACAAAACAAAGAAGGAAAACACTCATTTGACAAAACACAGTATCCTTTCATGATAAAAACTTTTCACAGATGGGTATAGAAGGAACATACCTCAACATAATAAAGGCACACAAAGCCCACAGCTAACATCATAATCAACAGTGAAAGGTGGAAAGTTTCCCCCCTAAAATCAAGAACAAGACAAGGGTGCCCACTCTCACCACTCCTATTAAACATAGTACAGAAATACTAGCCAAAGTAATCAGGCAAGAAAAATAAATAAAAGGCATCAAATTGGAAAGGAAGAAGTAAAAGTGTCTTTGTTTGCAGATAAGATCTTATATATATAGAAATTCCTAGACTTCACACACACACAAAAAAAGTTAGAACTAATCAACAAATTCAGTAAAGTTGCAGGATACAAAATCAACATATAGGAATCACTTGTGTTTCTATACATTAATAATAAAATATCTGAAAAAGAAATTTTAAAAAATCCCATTCATGACAGCATAAAAAATTTAATAAAATACTTAGGAATAAACTCAAGCAAAGAGGTGAAAGATCTATACACTGAAAACTATACCACTTTGCTGAAAGAAGACATGAATAATGCAAAGACATCCCATGTTCATGGATTGGAAGAATTAAAATATATGTTAAAATGTCCATCTACCTAAAGCAATATACAGGTTTAATGCAATCCCTATCAAAATTCCAATGACATTTTTCATGGAAATAGAAAAAAATCTTAAAATCTGTACAGAACCACAAAAGATCCTCATCCTGAATAGCCAAAGCTGAAGCCATCACATTTCCTGATTTCAAACTGTATACAAAACTATAGTAATTAAAACAGTATGGTACTGGCATAAAAACAGACATATAGACCAAATAACAGAATCGAGAGAACAGAAATAAACCCTGGCAAATACGAACAACTGATAAGGGAGCCAGGAATACTCAATGGGGAAAGGATAATCTCTTCAGTAAATGGTACTGGGAAAACTGGATAATCACATGCATAAAGCTGAACCCCTATCTTACACCACTGACAAAATTTAACTTGAAATGGAATAAAGACTTACACATAAGGCCTGAAACTATAAAACTCCTAGAAGAAAATACTGAGAAAAAGTTCCTTGACATTGGTTTTGGCAATGATTTTCTGGATGTGACAACTAAAGCATAAGCAACAAAAGCAAAAGTAAATAAGTGGACTACATTAAACTCAAAAGCCTCTGCATTGGAAAAAAAAAACCAATCAACAAAATGAAAAGCCTAGCTACAAAGTGGGAAAAAATATTT